ATGACCTCGAAAAAAGATGTTTTTAAATTATTTTTTTTTACTGAACAGTAAAGTGATGGATTACAAACCATACAGCAAATACTCATAAATAATTGGCCGATTTTTTGGCATATCTTTGAAAACAGCACTTACCATACTTTGCGCAATTTTAGGCTCGTGATTTTTTCGACCCCTGCATCATGTGATTAGGGACATCCCAAGAAAAGCTATTCCATCATGAAAAATCTACAGAAAAGGAGCTTTCAAAATCCTATATGCTGATCGATACCGGTTCAGCCGTTTTCACGCAGCAGCCTTTTGAAAATTGTGGTAACAAGAATTTAACCCATTTTTTATTGTGGTATATCTGCCTCTAAAAGGCCCTTAGCAGAAAACTGCCGAAAACGTCTAGAAATATTGACAGCAGTTTATTAATGGTCCATACTGGATCGCAAAAAAAAATTTATTGCCGATCACCCTGTATAACATTTTTTTTTTTTTTTTACGGATATGCGCACTCGCAAGGAAATGTCCTATCACGCTCGAGAAGCGGCAAGTGCGCGGAAATGTCGGTGTATGTTGGTCTTGAAACGGTTCAGGTTGTAACCTGCAGGGAAAACCGTCGCAGGGAGTTTATTCCACAGCGATGCTGTTCTCCAGAGATATGAATTCTGATATAATGAGGTTCTTGGTGCCTCTAGTTTGACAGTAAATTCATTGGTACCGTCTGTTTGACGGGTTCGCCTGGTAGGTGCTACTCTCGGTGGAATCATACGTGCCAACTCTTCAGAGCATTTTCCGTGATAGTACCTGTAGAAGAGAGATAAATCGCCCACAGATCTGCGATGTTCGAGACCATCCAAGTTACAAGTAAGTGCGGGGTCATTGATCAGCTTGATAGCTCGTTTTTGCACCGTGTTCAAAAGCATTATGGTATGTTTGGGTGCTGCACTCCATATATGTGAGCAGTACTCCATAGTTGGTCGAATCTGGGCTTTGTAGAGTGTCAGCAATTGGCTTGGTGTGTACAGATGTCTTTTACGAAATAGCACCCCCAGCTTTTGGGAGGCCCTTTTAGCAATATCTGCCACGCGACTGTGCCAAGACATGTTGGTCTCTGCAGTAACCCCCAAGATGTTCAACTGACTCTGTAATGTGACAGCACTTCCAGATAGCATGATGTTTGGCTCACCGGTGCTGGTCTTTTTTGAAAACAGAGCTGCTTGGGTTTTCTGCGTGTTGAACTGTACAGGGTTTTTGTTACCCCAGTCCTCTATTATCTCCAGGTCGTTATTTATCTGTGATATTTGAGTTAGTCTAAGATAATGGAATTCACGTGCGGAAAGACCTGTGGGTGGTATGAGTGAGGAGACTACATTGCCATCGTCTGCAAAGCAATAAAGTGTGTTTGGACATTCAAATCTATTTGAACATTCAAATCAAATTTCTTATATCAGACTGTTATATTGAACAAAAGTGTAGCAACATTCTTAAACATGGCAACGCCGTAATAAACCTAGCAACTCAAAAGGATCTGGCAACGCGCAAGAACGGCAAGCGACCAATATACTGGCGGCTAAACATAGGACTGCGATCCAACGTTGCCAAATTGATTTCGATGCTACGCGCATGCCCGCCCACCCCATTGAGCCAAGTTTGGCTGTCTCTGTCAGGGCGGGTATTATAAAACTACTTTGAGAGTTAACTTGAAGTTAACTTCTGGAATTACATGTATTTCGAAAAGTTAACTTCAAGTTAACTGTCAAAGCAGTTTTATAATACCCGCCCTCAGTCTGTCTTTTTCATTGATCTCTTTAGTGCAAATAAACAAACAAAGCTAGTAGTTATTTCTAAATATTATAATTACATAATATATTTTTTTAGAGAACTTTGACCTTTTATTTTTAGTTTTAAATACTTTCGCTTCTTTCTTTAGAATAACTATAAGTACCTAAATATAAATTCACAATGAAAAAATATACCATATAGGTATTATTATTTTTATCTTATTATTACTCATTACTTATTTTCTATTTTTTATTCCGGCCTGTCAAAATGACATTATTATGGATCTCATTTGTAGTGTCAAAATGACATAATTTATTGGATTGAGTCCTTTAATGCGATTTCATTAGAGTACTAAGTATTATAATGAGATCTCATTATAAGTACCTACTATAATGAGAAAAAAATATAAGTAGGTTTAGTAGGCAAAAATATGAAAAATTTATTGAAGACAACATTTAACCATTAAAATAATTTACAATTTCTGGAATATAAAATATTGTATGAAATTTGGATCATAAACAATCACTATGGCACACGCCGTGTTATCATCAGACTCGGCTGACGCCTCGTCTGATAATATTCACGGCTAATACCATAATGATCGTGATTATGATCCTTATAACATAAATATCTATAATAGGATTAATTTATTACCTACTAATCATGCGAGAATTTATTTGTTGTATAACAGAAATTAACCTTTCATTATTATTGTAACATTATCCGCAATATAAATCTATTTTAAATTTGGCGCTTTATGAAAGGAGGATTTGGCAACATTGGATCGCGATCCTATGTCTAGTCGCCAGCACCAATATCGCTCAGCGCGACCAATAGGATCGCTCGGCGCGACCAATAAGAAGAGACGGATTCGAGAGCATGTCACGACATCACGTTGTTATTGTTTGACTAATAATCAATTAAAAATTCGTTTTGTACCGCAATAAATGGTTAATCAATTAAAGTATTAATTCTCGTTAATGTGTTTGGGTTCCTATTTGACCTATAATAAAGGGTGTTCCTTCGAAAGTCCTCAGCAGAGGGCATCAAAGTGGATTTATTGTTTTATCTATGAGGTCATTTATGTAAATCAGAAAAAGAGTTGGCGAAAGGATTGCTCCCTGTGGCACACCAGCATTTATTTGGTAAGAGTTGGAGTTCTGGCCATCCAGTGCAACATAAATAGATCTGTCCTTTAGGTAACTTTCAAACCAAGTGCAAAGTTTCGGCGATAATCCCATTGCTTTGAGCTTGTTAAGCAGATTTTCATGCCAAACTTTGTCGAATGCTTTAGATATATCTAAGGCAATTGTTCTTGTTTCACCCCGCAACTCAATCGCTTTTTGCCATAAGTGAGTGACGTATGTAAGTAAATCGCCAGTTGACCTATATTTTCGAAATCCGTATTGCTTATCGTTGATAATTTTGTACTTTTCCAAGTACTTGGTTAGGTGATTGTTCACAACTCTTTCCATTACTTTTGATATCACCGGAAGTAGAGCAATTGGTCTATAGTTTAACGGATCTGTCTTTTTTCCTTTCTTTGGAATGGGTTGTACTGCGGCAGACTTCCATGATGATGGATATACTCCTTGCCTGTAAGACAAATTAAATAATTTTGCGAAAGTTGGGGTGAGTTCGTTGGCGCAATTTTTGAGTACTATTGCGGGAATGCCATCCGGACCCATTGCTTTGTTTGTATCCAGCTTTTTTAGGGATTTTCGTATTTCTCTGTGACAAAAGGGTACCTCTGGCATACTATGGGAAACCCTTTCAATGAACGGTGGAGTTTTTCTGTTTGGCACTGTTAGGTTGGAGTTGGAGGAAAACATTTGGGCAAGCATATTGGCTTTTTCCTCTGATGTTATGGCTAAGTGATTATTTTTATCTGTAAGTGGTGGTATGGATGACTTGGTGAAGTTAGATCCAACAGCTTTTGCAAGAGACCAAAAAGACCTAGAACTACTTGGACAATTCAGCAACCTGTTTTTTATTCTTTGATTGTATGTTTCTTTAGCGGAGTCAATAGTAATTTTGCAACTATTTCTGGCTTCTATAAATTCTGTGTGGTTTTGAGCGGTTTGTTGTCGTTTCTAAAGGTTATATGCTCTGTGTTTTTTCTGTACAGCCGTTTGACACTGGCTGTTGAACCAAGGTTTTGCATTAGCTCTACGTTTAGTTGTATGTGGGATATATGCGTCCATTCCAGATAAGATTACTTGTGTTATTTCATTACAGCAAATAGTGGGATCAGCTGTTTTAAAGCAAACCTCTTGCCATGGAAAATCCAGGTAATACTGTTTTAGGTCATTCCATTTTGCCGATTTATAGTGCCATATTTTACGAGGAAGTGGTTGTTGGCTTGGTGGGATGAGCATTTCGGACTTTGTTATTATAAGTTTATGATCGGACGAACCAAGTGGAGCATCTACTTGAATTGTGTACGAGTCAGGATTGGTGGTTAGGAACAAGTCTAAAAGCGCTGCAAATTCGCCCCTTTCCGAGATACGATACGGGTAGGTTCATCGACAAGCTGCGTTAGACCACAACTTATAGCAAAAGCTTCTGCTTCTCTGCCTTCGTTATCTGTTTTGTTGTGGTGTTTCAGCCAGGGTATATTGTGGACGTTGAAATCGCCTAAAAAGACAATTTCCGCCTGTGGATAGTTTGACTGTATTCTATCACAGCTTTCGGATAATGTTGCGAAAACGTTTTGGTAATCGGTAACAAAATGGTAACATGAAAATAACGTCCTTCTAAAAAATTGTTTTTGTCGCATAGTCTAGATGAAAAGAGCTTTCGGATGCCGAAAACCGCATCCAGAAAAATTATTCCAAAATTTGTTAAAAAACATCAATTTGCCATTGCAAACATAAATGACAATGCATCTAGTATTTCTAACATATAGCAATTATATTTTTTTTATTAGGAAATCCTAATGTCTTTGGCAAAGCCAGTATTTCCGCCTATCTATAAAGCAAAACCTGGAAATGGACAAGCGGCATGGTTGCGTCATTTTGCCGACGAGCAAAACCGAATTGCAGATTTGAAAATGCGCGCTCGACAATTCCAGGATAAAGTGGCCAGAGAGACTGTGCGGAGGAAATATGGTGGACGCATCGATGCCGATTTCAATGTGTTTCCTACCAAAGAAATGGTCAAGGTAATAGAATTACATATATTTTGTTTTTGGTGATATTAATTCTGTATTTTTAGGCAATGAAAGAAACCGAATCAGTGAATATTGGTTTTGTTAAGATTCCAAAATCTCAGTTGAGTAGTGAAGAAAAACCAGGAATTGTCAATTTAGAATTAGATTTTGCCAATTTACAAAAAATTCTACAAACCCTGTGCTAAGTATTTAATTGTAATTGTAGCTTCAATAATATTAACCGCATGAGCTTTACTCTTTTAATAAACTTAGGATCAAGGCTAGTGCCTTTACTAAGTATTGTTCTATTTTGAAAAAATGTTTAATTTTATGTAATTCTGTTTTTTTATTCTTGTTTATTAATAAAATTATTTTTTACAAACTGCACACATTCTAAGGCCAATATTCTTTAGCCCTCCTTCCCTTATGTCTAGGTAAATCTGGACGTAACGCTCTGGGAATATATTCTGGTAATCGAGCATCCAATGTTCGTGTCCATGGCTTCTCGAAGAGTTCGAAGAATCGCCTTTTCTTGTCCATAAGTCTGGTCTTGTGATCAACTTTGTATATTTTTTCCCAGGCATAAACCTCATCTAATTCTTTCAGTCTTGGGCGATTGGAGGTAAGGAATTTGTATTCTTTTTCTAACCATCTTCTTTTATCTTCATCCTAAAAAAAGTCTATTAAACCTAAACGAAATAAATTTTGTATGTCAACTTTCACCTCATAATCGGCTGCTAATTTCTCTTCCTGACTCAAATAAGGTCTCAAATTAACCCCCAATCGTTCACTAGGTGCATTACTATACAGTTTAACTAAATTTTTCAAAACTTCTTCATTGAATCCAATTAGTTTTCCTTCTTGTATACCTTCATACAATTTGTATTCATCACTAGCCCAGCATATATTTCTTTTGGGATTTTCTGTGGTATTTTTTGAGTGTAACAAAATAGTGTTCAGCTGATAAATGTAAAATTGGAAGTTCTTTCCATTTGTAAGCACAGTTTGAGTAACCATTGGGTATGTTATGTCATTGAAAGTTGTAAAACCTAAATGATTAGCTTGCGAATGGAGCCACGCATATGAAGACATTATAGCTTGATGATGCGATGCTTCCTTGGTATCATTTTCGTCTGGAAAATGTTTAACCCTTTCTAACAAGTGGCCAGTTTTAAGGTACGAAGTTAGGCCAAATGTATGAGAGTCGCCTGGCCAAAATCCTACACAACAAATTAGAAAATTGATGGCGTCAATTTATAGATGAAATAATTACCAGGTATGTTTGCTGCATGCCTATACTCCACCCCCATACCCAAAACTCTAGGATCATATTCAAAAAATGGCACATCTAATGATGGATTGTCGGCTTCTGAAGGCGACAATACATAGGGCAACGGTAATTCAGCTCTAGAAAAATAAATATTGGTAATAATTAATAATTAGGTGATAAAATATTCCACCTTATTGTTAAACTTGGAGATCCTACATAGGAAAATGTTTTATCCACTGGATCATTTTTGAATTGTTTCAGAAACTCGTGTCCTCCTCTCATTTTTTTAATGCTTTCGTCTGGATCCATACCACCAACTACCCAAGAAGATTCAATTCTTGGATCTACATCCATCTGGGGAAAAAATAAATAAAATAAACACCTAGTCAGTGGCGGATACAGTGGGGGGAGCAACTACCCCCCCCATTTTAAAATAAAATAATTTAAAAAAAAAGAAAACAAAACCATATTTTAAGTTTTGGAATGTTTAGAAAGCTGGAAAGCTATAAAAAAATCACACTTTTGTCTTTGTTCCAAGAACTTTAACCTCAAACAGTATATCATTAGTGGTTGAGTTGATGTATTCTTTTTTTTTTTGTTCTAATAAATAAATATTCATACAAAATCAATAAGATCATGTACAGGTTGTTTTTTTATATATTGACACCCAACCTATAGCCTTTACCTTTACAGGTAGATGAAGGTGTAAATACAAAAGTTGCACAGTATTGGCTAAATTTTTAAAATCCATGGTCAAAAACAAAAATTGAATGACAGAAATGTGAAATATTGCATGCTTTCAGCTTTTTTCAAATGGGATGCGATATATTTGGTTCTATATTCTTGAAGTATTGTGGCAATGGTTGTGTGCGCTTCTAAGCAAGTAACTTCGATGGTCAGTACTGTTTTAACTGCGTCCGTGGTAGGCTACTCTTCGGAATCAGGTAAGGAAATATTCCTAGCTTTTTGGCGGTTTTTTACATGAAAAGCTAAGGTTTGCTGTGAGTTTATTATTTAATATTATTTAACGAAATTTGCTATAGGAATACTTTGATGTTTTCTTAACAACGTAATTTTGTTAAATTTGAGTTGCATTTATTGGAAAGTCCATATTGGCAATAGAAGTAAATGGGCAATGATGTCACCCAAATTTCCGGATTTTTTTCAAAATATAAATCAGTTAATTTTTTGTTTTGAATACTTTCTATGCGTAAAATAGTAACAATAATAATAATAATAATATGAATAATAAGATATGAAAATGCTAGGCGAAGTAGTATAAGAAAAACAGACCATCAGACAACAAAAATTCATCCTAGGTGCAGGGTGTGCACTCGATAACTTTTGCACTATAAAAGACCATAAGAAGTAAGCTTATATACCTATGGGAAATTTCAAAAATAATAATAATATAAAAAATAAAATAAAACCTGGAGAATCGGTCAGATTTGAGGATCTGAATAATGTAAAAAATTAAAGAGACGAAAAACGTTAAGGAACAAAACATTGAAGAAGTCGAAGAGGAGCCTTGACGATATTTTTTTTAATGAAAACCTCAAAAAAATAAATAATTTTTTGATAGAAGGGCTTTGTTCCTATTTAAAAGCATATTCGTTCGTTTTTTTCAACTGCCATGGCATGCAGATCTATGCAGATACCTTTTTAAAAACATTATCGATGGGCCAAGTTGGTTATTAAAGGCGTTAACTTTGCTTTTCGGCAATTTTGATCAGTGGGCAAAGTTGAAATTTTTGCTTACAACTTTGCCCACCCCCCTTTTTATTTTTTTTTCAGGTATTTCTTCAGAAGTTAGCCAAACTACACTTTGACGAACGATTAGTGACGCTAAAACAAAACTTTTGGTACCATCAAAATTTTCAAATAAAAATCTCCCAAAAATATAGTAGTGAAAAACAAAAATTTCCTGAGCAAAGTTGTAAGGTTTTACGGTAATCTAAACTGTATAGTTTTTACCTGTCACACCTATACGTAGGTAACAATTAAAAACCACACAGCATTTTTTTAATTGATTTTTCCTAACTTTGACAAGCTGCCATTTCGACAGGGTAAATAGTAGCAACTTAAAACTTCGGGGATATAATCTTATTGAAAATAGCTATCAAATGACGTATCACTCGAACCCCCTTTTCATTTGAAATTTTGGGGGTACCTGTCCCCCTCACTTAGGGGTTGACAGGTAGGGGGTGAAAATACCAATAAAATGTGTCCCCCAAAAAACAAAAATTGACGTGTTCGAGCGATTTTTAATTAATCACCTAACACCTGAGAAAACCTGGGTGGGAAGTTTTTCGTGCTCCACCCTGTATATACAGGGTGTCCCAGGGAAAACAGTCCACCCCGATTTATTGGGTTTGGGATGAGAATCTGGGAGAACGCTCGGACACGTCGATGTTTGATTTGAGGGGGAACTATTTTTCAGTTTCTTTCATCCCCGTAGCTTCAACCCCCAAGCTAGGGGGAGAACAACCCCCCAAATTTGAATAGGGGATAGGGCCGATAGGGGTCGTGTCATACCTCTATTTAAAGGTTTCATCAAGTTCTTTATGGCCCTAGAATTTCATCTTATTATTTTCATCCGTAACGAAATGACAGCTTATCAAAATTTTGGAAATGGACTATGTTTTAGTAGGAGTACAAGCGGTACTTACCTACCTTGATAAAAATACGAGTAAAAATACCTACAATTTACAATTCTCGTGTACACCTCATTAATAATAATAGGAAAAAACTTCATTTCAAGTATTTTTATTAAGGGAGGTAAGTATCGCTTTTGCTCCCACTAAAATTAATAGTCTATTTCCAAGATTTTGACAAGCTGTCATTTCGTTACGGATGAAAATAATGAGACGAAATTCTAGGGGCATAAAGAACTCGATGAGACCTTTGAAAAGAGATATGACATGACCCCTATACCCTATTCAAATTTGGGGGGTTGTTATCCCCCTAGCTAGGGGGTTCAAACTACGGGGATGAAAAAAACTGTAAAATAGTTCCCCCTCAATTCAAAAATCGACGTGTCCGAGCGTTTTTCCAGATTCTCATCCCAAATCCAATAAATCGGGGTGGACTGTTTTCCCTGGGACACCCTGTATGTAATAACACAAGAGAAACAATTTTGTTGCTGAAAAACCATCATGTTGGTTTTGTCCAGGTAGGAGTTTTGTCAGTAGGAAACCGGCCGTTTCTATGACATTTTTCCAGTGTAAAACACCCCCACCCCTATTATCTCGGAGTAGAAAAATTTTCGAAAAAATCCCTGAAACACGTCAACTATATTTTGAAAGGGGATGAGTTTTTATGCAAAATTCATCTCGCCTCTTTCAACCCCCCACACCCAAAGCCACCCCCTAGAAAATCTTAAATGGGAAGGGGGATCAAGTGATACATCATTTTGCAGGGTTTTTAATTCCATACATTTTGGTACCAAATTTCAATACCCAAGTTCAACTGTTTTGGAAATAGTGACAGTTGAAAATTGACTTTTTTGCAAATTTGACAGGCTGTAAAACTTCAACGGTTAATTTTAGAGGAAAACCGTTCTTACATTCTTATCATAGATTTTCAATTTTTCATAAACTATCATTTCACATCAACTTTGAATTTAACTGGAGATTAAATTTAAGTAAAATTTTTAACCATAGATTAAATTCAAAGTTGGTGTCAAATGAGTTGGTGATAAAAATCTAAGATAGGATAGTAAAATAGGGCTGTCCGATATACATCGATGCATCGAAAACATCGATATTTTCGATGTGATGCATTGGTATTATGCGATGTATCGAATGCTTAGAAAAATATTCGATACATCGATGTATTTTTCTCGATATTTCCTGATATTAGGTTAGAGCGAATCGGTACGAAAACCGCGTGATTTTTATCCACACTCCGCGCTCCCGAAATCCGAAGGAAGTTGCAGTTGTGTGATTTTTCTACGATACCAGGTTCTCAAACGCACCACGCACCCAGCTGACTATACTTCGGTACCATCTGAACGATTATTTTCGAAAGCTGCACAAACCCTAAATCGACAAAAAAACAGACTTAAGGGTAAACGAAAAATTTTATTTTTACAGAGTTTAGACAAGAAATATCGGGATGTATAGTCCAACAAATACCTTTTTAAAGTCACGTGATTTTTCTCTATCCTTGTTGAATACATCTCAAACAGCAGTGATAGTAAAATTGACAAAAAAATTGCTGTCTAATTATTGTTCATAATATTCTTACCTGAAATAGAATCCGTCACTGCCATCAATTAGTTTGTCAAAGTTATTTTCGAAAGTAATACAACGAACAAACACAGCTAATAATTTTGACTATATTAACCTTTTTCCAACTCGAAAAGAAGTAAATAGAAAACGGGTACTCAGTTTAAGTTCAGAATGTATTACAACAGACAGCAGATGCAACACAAGTGAGTCTCGCAACAATTGCAAGTATTAAAATTGCCCTCTGATTGGTCAATACTACTTCAGAAACGCGTTTGTAAAATGCTAGTGGGAACATATATTAAAATTCAATAGTAATTAACCACCAGTAGCTTTTTGTAGGTGATATCAACGACATAATCAATGGACATACGTTTTTTGCCACCAGTATCACGTGACTTTAAAATGGTATTTGTCGGACTATACCTATAATCATGCCTTTATAATATTTTAATATTTTATATCTTGTTTCTTGATTTTACTGTTTTGTATAAAAATTTACTAGATGGAAAATAAACTTTTCTTTTTTGATTTTATTTTTTATTGGATCAATTCGATGCATCGCAAACATCGGTGTTTTTCCCCGATGTATCGAAAAAAATCGATACCACCTAACGATGCATTACATCGGAAAAATATCGATGTATTTTTCCATTGGACATCCCTATAAGAAAAATCGGTTTGCGTCTAAAATTAACCGTTTAGGTTTTACAGCCTGTTAAAGTTGCAAAAAAGTCAATTTTCAACTGTCAATATTTCCAAAACAGTTGAACTTGGGGCAGGGGCGTAGATACTTCACATTTCTGGGGGGGGTAAAGTTAGGGGGGGGTTCCGGAGAAAAATTTCAAGCTCATTTACTTTACTTTCCCAGAACTTGACCTTAGTGCCATCATTTGTTCGTTTTTGTCATCTTTTTCGTCGATTTGCTCCGAAATTTTGACAGGCAGCGATTTGTAAATTTAAACTGTCTGATCCAGTCACTTGCCTGTCAAAATTTTGGAGCAAATCGACGAAAAAGATGACAAAAACGAACACGGACAATGCTAGTTCAAATCAATTTTTTTGACAATTGACAGATGACACATCAC